CTGGGAGGCTGGGCTCTACTAGGAGAAATGTGGCATCAGGATTGGAGGAAGACTCATCAACAACCTGCCTTATGCAGATGACACATCCTTGCTTGCTGAAACTGAGGAGGACCTGAAGCACTTATTGCAGAAGGTCAAGGACTGAAACCTTCAACATGGATTGAAGCTCAACATCAAGAAAACAAAGTTTCTCACTACTGGGCCAATTGGCAGCATCATGATAGATGGTGAAAAGATTGAAATTGTTAACAGATTCCGTTTGCATGGCTCCACAATCAATACACTTGGTATCAGCAGCTAGGAAATCGAAAGATGAATTGCATTGGGAAAGCATGCAGTCAGGGATGTCTCTAAAATACTGAAGAGCAATGATGTCCGTCTGGAGAACAAGATGCTGGTGTACAAGAACCTGATCCAGACCATACTCACCACAATTATGGGCTATGCATCGGAGAACTGGACAATGACCAGGGGTAATAGAAAGAGAATTGATGCCTTTGAGCTGTGGTGCTGGAGAAGAGTGTTGAATATACCACAGATTGCTAGGAGAACAAACAGGTTGGTCCTAGAGAGGGTGAAACTAGTTTGCTCCTTGGAAGCAAGGATTATGAAGTTTCACCTGACATATTTTGGACATGTTGCAAGAAGCGACCAGTCCTTATAGAGGAACCTCATGCTTGGAAGGGTGGAGGGACAGCACAAGAGAGGAAGACCCTCTATGAGGTAGATTGATTCAGTGACTGGGGTAATGAGAGTAGCTGTGTCATAGACAATACGATTGGAACCGGATAGAGCAGGGTTTAGGGCTTTTGTGCATAGGGTCACTGTGAGTTGCAGGCGCATAAGAACAACATTGTTGTTGAGTAAAAATGCCGTGCATTTTCAGAGGCTGTGCATTTTATCGGAAGATACTGTTCATCTTTCTCCTGAAGAGCAGCTGGTAGAACTGGACTGTCCACCTTTGGGTTTGGCAGCTCAGCTCAATTCCCACTAACATGGTCATCCTGTGCCCACACTATGGCACTGCCCAGGGACGTTTTTGGAGGTCAAGGGCTCTGTAATGATTCTTGTCTTTGTTTCTTGTCACCAATGTGCTCACCTCCTTCTTTCATTAGAATGCTACCTGGGATCCAAGTCTCTTGTCCATGAATGATACTTGGTCTGTCATCATAGCTTTAGGCCCCTTCTACACAGTCTTAAAACCACTCTCTGACAACCATTCTATATCTCTACTATAAATGCATTTTCCAGTACATTTAAAGAAAATGATAAGTTGCTTTGCAAATATGAGTATATGAGTATAAAAAATAGTTCTCTGACAATTGATAATAAAACACCATAGCTTTTCTCTAAAATGTGATATTTTGATCTAGATATTCCTCTTTGCTTTGCCATCCGTGTCACATCACCAGGAAGCGTCCCTTTGCAGTGCTGGCTACAGGAAACACACGCACCTACCTGTGCAGACCAAGTTCACATGGATACAAAGAGCAAAGATTTGACTTCAAGTTAATAACTGAATGTACTTGGAAGCAGGTACCTTGGCAACCGTATGGCACTTAAATCCATCAGTGAATTATCCACAAGCCAGAGTGTTTGGACTCGAATTAGTCTTCGAAGAATCCTCTCAGAATTCTCAACTTGGTAAGGGTCCCCCAGATCCTGAAATGAAATGTTCAGATTCTGAAGGGGAAAAAATAAATAAGGGAGAGGAAAAAAAAAAACACACAACATATTCCTTGTCAAATTTTAATCATCAAAAACTGGATAAATTGTGTATACTGCACTGAAACAGATGAGGGACTGAATAATGTAAAAGCGATATATGATACGCTACTATGGTTATCACAAGAGTCCACAATTAAGGTTGCATAGTGGAATGTACTTGGGGCGATGGGAGGTGTACGGGGGGGATTGTGTACCAGGGAGGGGGTCTTTCTTTTACTTTTGAAAGAGAGGAGTGAACTGGGGGGTGAGGGGGAGAGGGCTGGGCGGGTAGAGAAGTGTAGCAATGAATGAATGGAAATCCAAATTCTCTGTAAATGTTCATTAAAATTATTAAAAAAAACCTTCTTCATCAGCAAAAAAAAAAAAAATTGCATTATCTAGGGTGGGGAGAAAAGTGCAACAATGAATGAGTGGAATTCCAAAATCTCTGTAGATGTTCACTGAAATTAATAATAATAATAATAATAAAAATTTTTTAAAAATGCATTATCTAGACCAGTAGTTTTCATGCATTCTTTCTGTTTTGGTTTGGTTTTGTCTGTGTTGTGTATACCAAACACCCACAACTATGGTTCAGCAAGAAGGGTGAAGTCTGATCAGAGTTCTTGAGTAGCATACAAGTTAAAGAGTGGTAAAGGAGACTGCCAAACAGATTCTTAAATGATCTGACAATAGAAAGCACCAGAAAGGAGGAGAAATATGTAATTGTTGTTACTGTATTGGGGTTTCTTTTTAGGATTTAAAATATTTTTACCATTAGCTGCCTGTGGAAATACTCAGACATTACATTTATGAGAATTTCAGAATAAGATGACATAATTCAAAAGATTAAAAATATTATGATTTCATTGTCAAGTGTCCAGGGATGCATGACTTAGAAATATTTCATAGCTAGTAGATGTTAGCTATTAAAATGACATTTAGCATCAGTCAACTTCAGTGCAAAGAAAATTAAAACTGGTCCCAACAGCAGCATTTTGCCAATGCAAACTCTTTCATAAAGGTCAGCTCAACTTTTTCATTCGTATATTTTTAGTTTCGACTACTGCCAACAGAAATTATGGAACAAAAGTATGATCTCATTAAAAATGTAAAGCAAACAATTTATTAATTTTCAGCAAATATAATTCATCTCAATTCTTTGAAACTAATTAAGGTTTTGATCTTTGGGGATATTATGTGCTACAAATTTCCCCAAATATACAAAAGGCCTTAATTTTAGTAAAATAATAAATGATACAATACTGTATTTATCATCTATAACTTAAATATTCTTTCTTTGTTGCTGCTTCTCATTGATATTTTCTATGATATTGCCTGCTACAAGTGTTGAGGACTCTCCTTCATAGGGTCGCTATGAGTCGCCTGTGACTCGACGGCACTTAAAAACAACAACAACAGCAACAACATTGCCTGTTAACTGGAAGGTGTTTGTTAACTAAATGAAGGTCTTGTCATTTGGTGACCCTCCAGATTCCCAGAGCTGAAAATCTTGAGCATTTCAATATTTTTTTACATGCGTAAATTCTATTTATGATCATCGTATTGTTTAACCATCACAGTTAATCTTCAGTTTTCTGTCTATGCATGGCTTGATTCTACAGATTTTAGGGACTTGAGTGACCTACAGTTTGCTGCTGTCAAGCTGACGACCCAGGATGTACTTCAGCACTGGTCGCTCAGTCAGGTGGGTTGTTTCCAGCACCAGGATAACATGGTTCATATACTTCACTGATAGTTTGATTTATTCCAAGATAGCTCCATTTAGAACAGACTGACAGACCTAGCTGACCAAAAAAAATTTTTGCTGAAACTGAGGAGGACCTGAAGCGCCTGCTACAGAGTGTCAAGGACTGCAGCATACAGTATGGATTGAGGCTCAATGTCAAGAAGACAAAGATTCTCACCACTGGACCAATTGGCAGCATCAGGATGGATGGTGAAGAGATTGAGATTGTACACAGCTTTAGTTTGCTTGGCTCCATAGTCAACAGTCTTGGCACCAGCAGCCAGGAAATTAAAAGGCACATTGCAATGGCAAAGTCTGCTGTTAGGGACCTCTCCAAAGTGCTGAAGAGCAATGGTGTCTCTTTGGAGACTAAGGTGTGTCTGATACAGGCCATGGTCTTCGCAATCACCTGTTATGCATCAGAGAGTTGGACAATGACCAAGGAGGATAGAAGGAGAATTGATGCCTTTGAGCTGTGGTGCTGGAGAAGAGTATTGAGAACACCATGGACTGCTAGGAAACCAGATTTGTCCTGGAAAGGGTTAAACCGGGTGGCTCCTTGGAAGCAAGGATTCTGAGGCTCCATCTAACATACTTTGGACATGTTGTGAGGAGAGACCGGTCCTTAGAGAGGGACATCATGCTTGGGAGGGTGGAGGGACAGCGCAGGAGAGGAAGGCCCTCTATGAGGTGGATTGATTCAGTGACTGGGATAATTGGGATGGGAGTGTCAGAGACAGTGCGATTGGCACAGGACAGAGCGGAGTTTAGGGCTGTTGTACATAGGGTCGCTATGAGTCGCAGGCGACTCGACGGCACATAACAACAACAACAATCATGCATGATTCAAGGCATTCTAGATGGCATCGTGAACTTATTTATCAATACGTATTGATATCAATACATATTGATATAATACGTACTGATATCAATAAGTATACTAATATTGTCAAACATTTGAAAGTTTATTAAAAAAACTATCCTTTATTAAAAGTAATTACTTCATTGTCAACTATTCTAAGGATTTTTTTTTCTCCTCCTAAAATAAAGTCTTCCTTGAAAGGGTGGAGGAACAGCACAGAAGAGGATGATCCTCAATGAGATGGATTGATTCAGTGACTGGGTTATTGGGGGTAAGTATGCCAGAGACGATGAGATTGGCCCAGGATAGAGCAGGGTATAGGGCTCTTGTACATCAGGTGGCTATGAGTCGCAGACAGCTCAACCGCACATAATAACAACAGAACAACGAAATAAAGTTGAGTATTTTCAAAGATAGAATAAAGGTTATAAAATAGGCAACACTCGGAAGATGAAGAAGTGAAGTGAATCAACATGGTAAAGAAGCTATCGTGAAGATGAGAGCAGAGAGAGACGCATACTGCACTAGCTTCAGAGAACGCTCTAAAAGAGATACTTAAATTTTTTCATATTGTTGTTTGCCATGAAGTCAGAACCAACTCATAGCTGACCCTCCAATAAGCTTTTCAGAGACTAAATGTCATGGTGGGAGGTTGCCCGTCTTTCTCCCGCAAAGCAGCTAATAAATTTGCTTAAGGTTGGCAGCACAACTTCTTAGCACTAGGTCACCAGAGTTCTCAGTGTTTTGACATAGATGCTGTTAATTGTCCTGGAAATGAAGGGTGACCATAAGAGGGTGTCATCATTTAACCAACAAAGAAACTAGCTTATACACATGACCAACTCTCACCGTGCAATCTTCCCAGTTTTCTTGTAGCCACGTTTTCCATTTGCTTTTTTTGAGAATTCTTTTCTTTGGAGGCACAGAAGGCACCCCATCTCTGAACAACAACTCTTCTTCAGAGGGTCCTAGGCAGAAATTCCAAGGTGAGGTCTTCAAAAGAGCACTGACACCTTCCCTTGCTCTACAAAGGTTCGTTTCAAATTTCCGCTCAATGTTAATATTGAGCAAAACATCACATCACCCAGACTATGTTCTAATAATATGAAGAGTAACAAAATGTGACTTCATAGAATTTGCCACCTCATTCAAGTGGACATAATGGAAAGAAGAAGTGTGGAGATAAGCAGACAGGAAAGGACCCAGGAGTTTATCACATTGTCCCCTTCTACTTAAAAATCATTTTTCCTGATGTTTTCCAAATACATTTTCTGCTTATGTTTTCCAAGTGAAACAAGGCCAACTGTCTGATTTGGAAACAGTTCATTCAGATTTTTTCAGGGGTGACATAATAAAATAATTAAGAGATAATTGCTACATATTTTCCCTCTCAGTTCCCTTGTGGCTCCTTCTGGTGCAGGAAGCCATGGAGCTCTCTCTGACCGCCTTGCTGCCTGGCTCCTCAGCAGAAGAGTTACACAAGACAGAAAACAGCTAACACAAAGCGACAACTTTCCTTAATAACTGCCCTGCTTATTGAGAAAAAAAGAAAAGGTTGCAAAAAAGTGAAAAATTAGAGTTGCCGATTATGTCACTATTGTTATTTTATATTTGTGTTAGTCATTGTCTAGGCTTCTACATTTAGCGAAATTTCCCCTTAATAGTTATTTTAAAATACGAATTAGTACTTGACTGATCAAAACTGGATAGTTAAAATACTTACTGTATGTCTTTTTACTATACTGAAATTCTGAACATGTATTTTGCATTTCAGAGAAAAGTTAATTTTCTAGAGGAATTGAAGAGAAAGATGAATGATGGAAAAACAGCCAATATATACTTAAAAAAAAAAAAAAAGAACAAAAGAACCCCAAACTAACCACTGTCCTGTCAATTTCCATGGTGTCTCCATGTGTGACAGAGTAGAGCTGTACTCTGTCATATTTTCAGTGACTGCTATTTCTCAGGTAGTTCACTGGATTTTCATTTCAAGGTACCTCTGGGGAGACTTAAACTATCAACTTTTCAATTCACATCTAAGAGCATTAACAATTTGTTGTAGTCAACATAGAAAGACAACCTTTACTTTCCATAAGTGATTTCTTGCCCAACACTTATGAAAAACCACCAGTATAAGAAGGTGATTTTCATATCATTTCCTCTTGCAGGATGTCTATTGGCATTTCTGGCTTTCCCTCTTTTGTCTCCCAACACAATTAGTCAGACACTCAATGCTATGTGCCTTCTCTTTAAGAATCAATCCCTTCCTTTTCAATTTCCAAATCCTCTTATCTTCCTGTCTGAATTATAAAACCACTCTGTTATTTCCTTACCTACTGTACTCTCAGTGTTTTTCTCCTCCTTTTTTTCCCTCCCTCTCCCTCCGTTCCTACCTCCTGTCTCTTTGCTATTGAGTCAGCTGTTGTTGTTGTTGTTGAGTACAACCCAAGTGACCCTAAAAACAATAGATAACAAATTCTGTCTTATCGAGTGCCATCCTGACACATTAGAGCCCACTGCAGCAGTCACTCTCAATCTGTTTGGTGAGGGTCTTCCTCTCTTTCATTGACCCTTCCCCTTTCCAAGTATGATGTCCTTCTTCAAGTAAGAGGAACATGCCCTAGGTATGTGAAATGGAGCTTATCATCCTGGCCTCCAAGGAGCATTCTGGCTGCCCTTGCTTTAATATGCCCTTGCATATTTTTTTTTGTTCTTTTGGCATTCCATGGGATACTCAGTTCTCTTCTCCAACACCATAGCTCAGAGGCATCGGTTCTTCTACTGACATCCTTATTCATTGCTCAGCTCACATATGCATGCCAATTATTTGAAAAGACCATATCTTGAATTACTGAGAGCTGGTTCATGCCTGTCCCTTCATTGGATTTCTGAGCTAAAAATAGAATGGGAGGAGATTGCCCAAGACATGGTGCTGATGGGTTAGATGGGACCTTTGTGTCAACAGCTCAAATCTCTGTGGACTACACCTTCAGAGTACCACCCATTCAATATAAATGACACAAGTTGCCAATCAGTGTTCCTAAAACATACAGTCAATATTATGATAGATGGAGAAAAGATTGAAACTGTCAATGATTTCATCTTGCTTGGATCAACCATCAACATCTTTGATACTAGCAGTCAGTGATGTGAGTTTTCCCTCAGAATTTAGGAGGCTAGAGGAGGGATTATCTCCTTTCAGTATCTGTGGGGCCAGAGTTCCTTAGAGATCTCCCTGCATGATTTTCTCAATCCTTTCCTGGGTCTAGAAGATCTCTGGGTGTTAGTTTTTTCTTTACAGTAATTAGTCCCTCAGGTCTCTCAAAGGAGATTGACTAACAATGTCGCCTAATTCTATCAATTGTATCCTATCTCATTACATAACTACTTCCGGTCCTGCCCCATTAATATGACAGAAGTAAAAGTTTACAACACCTACGAGAATTACATCCAATTGTAAAATGAAAGATAATGGAATAATGCTGATAAACATGGTCCAAATGCACGGATATACATTTTGGGGATGGTGGTGGGGAACATAATTCAGTACATAACTGTCACTGTCAAGGAATTATTTGATCATTTGTACATATTATATATGTTCTCATTAAGAAATTATCTTGTTAATCATTTAGGATGAACGAAGCTTAAAAATCAGAAGAGTGGAAAAACTTACTTAAGTAATTATCTAATTGACTGGGGACACCTTCAGGCCTCATGTCTTTAAAAAACTTCCAAGAAAAATAGAGTTGGTAGCTTTCAAACCTCAGAGTTATTAAACTATGCCCTGCATTGTTTGTTTGAGCTCTATCGATTCTCTGCCCTTTTAATTATTTCTTTTTAAAGCAGTTTGAAAGATTTCTTTGAAGTTGGAGGCCAAAGGTCATGCCCACTGTGAGGAGTTGTAGTAAATTGGATTTTGATTATTTTTTTAAACCAACTCAGGCTATGTCGGTAATTGAAGAGAACTCTTAGCACCTGAGAACTGTGGACTCGACTATCTGACAGACTGGATGTGTTGTTGCCTTTCGCCTTCTACCTCTGAGCTTGTTCCTTGTACCCTCTCTGGATTTGTAACTCGTAACAGCAATCAGTGAATGAACTTGCTGCTGGATTTTCAAACAAAGAATCTATTCTTGTGAAAAGGAAATTCTGCCAGCTGGCTGCTCTTTTGCCTCATTTAACTGGGAGAAGTTGAGTTGAACTAGAGCTGACAATCAAAGCTTTGGGAAACTGCTGTTTATCAACACAAGATAACCTTGCCTCTCTCAGGGCTCCTTCTAGATAAGATATACAGCTGTGGTGCAATGGAGAGTATCTGAAGTGGCTGTGACGGGTGTCTCAGAAACTCTAGGAGGAGAGTAGTCCTTATCAGAAAGCTTTTGAGAAATGTTCTCTCTACCTCACAGAGGAAACATTAAGAAAATGAAGGGCAATGAGCAGGAGACAGTTTTTTACCTCATGGTTTAAGGTGTTGCAATTGTCCAATCTTGCATGTTTTGTTCCTTTTTGACTAGCTACTTGAGATGGACTGAGTGCTTGTTGTTGCTGACCTGTTGTTATTGTTGTTGTTGTTATGTGTCATCGAGTCGCTTGTGACTCATAGCGACAAGAGCCCTGAATACTGTTCAATCCTGTGCCAACCTTGCCGTAGTCCAAATGATAGTCTAAGTGTGCTCTACTGTACACAGGGTTTTCAAAGGCCTGTAATTTCGGAAGTGGATGGCCAAGCCTTCTTCCTAGTCTGTCTCAATTTTTAAATATATACAATAGTATCTGACAGACAAGCATTCTACAGAAAAGAGCAGATGAAAGACATTTACCAGTTAGAAAAATATTGAATGTTTCACGAATTTGCATTGCAGATCTACAGAGGGCAAATAGGCCTTTATTCCTGCAGAACCATGATGCCCTTGAGTGGGCTCTGTGGCTGAGGAGTTTAACTTTCAGTATGACTTTTTCTGACTCTTATTTGATTTTGCTGATCTAAATGGATGGAAATTCGCAAATGGGTGTGTTATCCTATCCACCAGGGGGTGGGCTACCTGCCACTTTGCAGGAGGACTTGCCAGTCTCAACAATCTACACGGGATTGTCTTGTTTCACCACTGAATTGATCAAGCCAGTAGCAAGATGCAAACAAATCTTTTGGTGCCATTGAACAAGAAGCAGAAGAATGTAGGACACCCTTCTTTTTTTTTTTTTTTTTTAGCCAAATTAACAAAGTGTATTTCGAGTTCGAACCCGGGCTCCACGTGCTAACACAGCAGCATCCAGCCGAGAGCCAGGACACCCTTCTCGCTCCTGCTACACCTACAGCAGCAACACCTATGGCTGAACTGGAGACTTGATATGAGATGGGACCTTGGGGACTGGAGCTAATATTGGCTGGACTGAGAACATTGTTGGACAACTAGGGGTGTGAAGCCAATATTGGCAGGACTGAGATCTTGGGAACACTGACCTAAAGCCATGAGGTGTGAGGCTGAGGTGCCTGTGTGCACATTTTGGGAGCTATCTTGACTGTATTCTGTTATTAATCTGGATTTCTGTTGTTTGTTGTTGTTTGTTTGTTTGTTTTTACTTCACTAACATGGGCCTGTGAGGTCTGTGATCACATCAGATTTCGGACCTAGCAAAACAGTAAGATTGGTGGTGAGATGAGTAGAAAGAAGTCTGGGAGCCTGGAGGACATGTCTGACCTCAAGGGAATTGGTTTTCTGTTACTGATGTTGTTGGCAGGGACTGTTGCCCTTTGTGAAGTTGATAAAGGTCAGACATGGCCATCCCCATGTGGCCCAAAATCTTTTTACAGTGGTCATCATGAGGGGTTGGTTTTACTGGGAAACTATGCTAGCACGTGACATGGATACTTAAATCAGGAAAGGTAGGTGAACCTTAAGTCCCTTTACACAGGCCCATTTTCAAGGTATACCCACATTTTATTCTCTCCCCATTCTCTTCAATT